CACAGCAGATATCAGAGAAGAAGTCAGAGATTGTGGAACCGCCTGCATCATTCCATCGGCAAATCAAAATTGAGTCCCAAGTTGGGGAGGCTCAGACTTTGACAGCGAATGAAACACAAAGTGAGTCTGAGACTCAAGCACCATTGTGTCCATTTAACCCAGATCTTGAAGAAGATTCAGAGCCATCATCTGCATCTGTCAAAGAAAAGAGAGAGTTTTTTGAAGAGGCTCAAAAGGCTGAAATTAAAAAGACCTATGTGCGGAAGGAGCCCATTGCTATACTTGAGCGACTGGGCCCTGACATGGAGGAGAGTATAGCAGAAAATAAGAACAAAGAAAAGGATGAGCTTCCCAGAGCAGAATTGTCTGGTCTTGTAAATAAATTTGAATCATCAGAAGAGAAAATGTATTTCAAAAAAGAGCTTATCCCACTCAAAGAGCGGCTTCATAATGATACTGAAGGAACAGATTGTGACGAAGAGAAAGTAGACATCCTGGAGCAGGGAATGCCAAGTTTTGACATCCAGGCTATTAAAAATGTTTTTGAACTGGGTGAGCTAAGTTCCTCTTTCAGAGAGGAGAAAAAGGATCAGGAGGAGCCTGAGTCAAGTCTGAGGGAAACAACAGCAGACACTTCAAAGCGGGAAAGGCCTCAAGAGACCAGGGGAGGCTCACGGCAGAGCACCCCCCTCCCTCTCCAGAAACACGAGGCAGAAGCTGTGCCAGCAGAACCATCAGCCTTCTCTGAAACCAAATCAATCACAGAACATTTCTCCAATGTTAATGAGTTTGGTAATGAGGTCATCGGAACAAGGACGGCTGTCACCGAGCATTCAGAGAGTGCATCAACCCAACAGGTTCCTTTTTCCTACGCCGATGCAGTCAAAAAAAAAGCTGCAGCAGTGAGGCGAACAGAAACGTATGATGAAGATGCTACAGAGAAGTTGCTGAGGAATTTCCACAAAACGTGGACGGAGAGTGAGACAGTTTTCAAGAGTCTTGGCTACACTGTTTCTGAAGAGACGACGGCACAAGTTCTATCAAGTGAGACAAGGATCATCTCATCTGGTAAAAAACGAACAGCATGAAACAACAGAACTGAATGGCATGGACAATGGGTGGCTTTAATTTGAGTGTTTTCGTTTGTGCTGTATCGCAAAAGCAGAATTACCAATACTGTATATATACGTCAATTATGCAAGTGTGTCTGTACAATAAAAAGTGCTGGTACTAACCAACAAGATCAGGAGTCTTCAGCCATGCTAGCAGCTCTGTGATGCTGTGTGACACAGTTCTGTTCTCAGTACAAGCAAATGTGAACATACTAACATGCTGATGGTTAGAATGTCATACTTAACTTCTTACTTTTGGAAGCTACTGTGCTAATATTTGCTAATTGACAAACCAAAAAGTAAACAGATGAGACATGCTCACGTGGCTAATTCAAAGTCAAATTATGTTTTGAGCAAATGCTGCGCTTTGTACCTTAGAAAGTTCATTTTTAACATTGGGAGCAACAGATTGACAAAGCAATCATATCACTAGATCATTCAAAAGAGCTTTTTCTGAAGCTTTCAATCACATCTCATGGTCCTCATCAGCATATGTAGTTTGCCGAGTTGCCATGAAGTTTTTCAAGGATGTTCTTTTCTCCTGAATACAAATGAAAGCCAATTACACCCAAACAACCTTGACTGGAGATGTGTGTTTACAATGTCTCATTCTACGACCAAATTGCAGTTGACAGATGCATGTATACAAGTATCTGTGAATATGGGAGCGAATAAAACTAAAACCTGAGGAACGATATCAACAGTTCCCCCTGACGACAGTTGCCATAGTTTACATGAATGAATGAGCATGTCATGCAATCTTTTGAATGCAACCATAATGTACTGTACTGCTTTGAATTTGCAAGATTAACCATAATAACTGAAATAAAAGCTGTGGCTTATTATTTATTGCATTGTGTGAAAAACAAAACAAAAAAATGTACTACTTGCATTTTATCTCTTTCAAACAGGCTCGAGTTCCGAAGTCGGAGCTCTGCACACTGTGTCGGAGGAGAGTTTATCCAATGGATGCTCTAATAGTGGACAAAAAGAAGTACCATAAATCCTGTTTCTGCTGTGAGCACTGCAAAAATAAGTTAAGGTAAATGTGGCACTCATTCAAATAAATGCCCACAATAGACTATTTGAACATTCCCATATTCATTGGTTATTATCTTGGTGTTTTAATGACAGCTTAATTGTTCGAAAAACAATTTCATGCTTTTTATTTAATGAAACTCACAACAGAATTTTTTTCTCTCCTCTCATAGCCTAGGAAATTACGTCTCCCTCCATGGACACTTCTACTGTCTGCACCATTACAAACAACTCCTCAAGTCCAAAGGGAACCACGATAATGGACTTGGGCTGAAACCTCCCGCAGTTGGAGGTGGACCTATCCCCTCAGATGAGAAACTTGAATGGCGATATTCCATGAGCAGCATAAGTTCGGTAGACAAAACACACAGCGGTGAAAACGAAACGATGAAAACATTTGATGAAAACAAACTGCACTCTAACAAAATATCTGTAGTTTGGCCCCCACAGGCTGATCCCCCAAAGAAAGCCTTTAAAATAGAAGAAGACATTCAGCTAACTAAACCACAGTGGCCCCCTCCAGACAACTCCCCCAGGTCACCCAAACAACAGCATAGAAAGGCTGTTCCCAGAAGTATCCTTTGAAAGAAAAGTCACCAAAATATATGGTTTAGTCAAGTAAATACAAAGAAGCAGCACATAACGATAAATGGTAATAGAAAGACATATTACAGAACTGTCCCTGAGGCACATTTAAGGAAGTGTTTGGTTGAAAGTCTTGAAGTTAAGTGATTCAAAAGGGAACATGACGTAAGGATAAGATAAACTGTATCGTAGATGATCGTAGATGGTGTGAAAAGCAGGTTTTAATACTAAGTTTTAGAGAGATAGATGCGGTAAGTGGAAGAAGACGTGAAGTGGTGTGCCTTGAACTGACAGGCTGATGTGTAATTTTACATTCACATAATTCTATATATTTCTTTCCACTTAGTATTTGACACAAAATAATGAGATTTTCAAATTTGACAAAAAACAATATTGAAAAAGTCCTTGCACTGTGCTCTAATGGGCCTAATTACTTGATAAAAAAGGTAATTTTTTTCTTAAATAAAGAGAGTATGACAAATTTAGTAGGATAATTGTCAAATCATAATAGTATTTGCACTGTAAAAAAGATAAGAAATTTTCAAATATAATCTGCCCTCCCAGTTTCCTTTTCACCCCTTTTGTTTGAGTCTACCATTAATTGGTTAATTGTACAATTTAGTTATATTTTTTGTAACTGCATGGTGATGCTGTTCTGCTGTTGTATTATTTCATCAGGGCTTTTATCTTTTAACATATCAACATTTTTGCATTTGTCTTTTTAGCACCTGGTGTGCAGACTACTAAAAAGCATATTGGAATTATTTTATTTATAATATTGAAAGTATATAATATAAACCAGTGAATTGGTGGTAATCATGTTTGTTTTGGACATTTGTATCCTATTTTGAACGACAACTATTTTGCAATGAAGAATTTTATTTTTTAGACTAGACAGTTATAAGACAATTCCTGATTTTGTCATGCTGTCAGGCTGGTTCACTTTCTTTATTGCTGATCTAAGAGCAATAAAATGTATGAATGTCATTGTTTCATTTGTCTGTCTTTAAAAGTCTCTGGCCTACTTTATGCATTAGCATCAGTGTACTGTATGTGAACTGTTTACTGTCGCTCCATCTCCAGAGTTCATCCATATCAAACACAAAGAGGACGAGCTGTCACAGAACTTGTCAGGCGTGTATCTGACAGAAGCTGCCTACAGTAGACAGGGTCAGGTCAACAGATCCCTTTCACACCGTCAGTATAATCTCCTTTAGAAGCTATCCCCACCCCTGAGGGGGGGTTTTGGAGCTCAGACTGCAGGTGTGCCTTCAGCAGGCAACCAATTGTATGTAGACTATAAGAAAACTTGAAATTGGGCATTAACAGGCAGGAGGATGAGGGACAGCTTAAGCACATGCAGTGTGATATATAGCAGCAGTGGAAAGCCCATGGTAAATTATTTTTTACTGCCAGTCTAAAATAAGCCAATGACCAAATGTGGGCACTCATCCTCTTACTGCTGCTCACTGTGGTAGTCCACGAGCTTAGCATACAATTTGTCAAGTCTGAACACCTTTACAACTGCAAAGCAAAATATACATTTGAATTCATATGGAAGGATTAGTATTTCAGCATGTAAGTAAAAATAAGGCTTTGTTTAAGGTAATGTTTAAAGTAGGGGTGTTGTATGCTGCATTTACCTTACACAT